CCGAATAAAATCGCAGCTATGGATCGGAAACCAACTAGTGTCCGCTAGCTGACAGTTTCAGTGGTTTGCTGTCGGTACTGACACAAGTTATTCCGATCTTCATCTATTCGCAAGGTCTGGAGTAGGCTGGTCTGTTTTCAGACTGTTTTGACAATGTTTTATGAATTTGAGGACCACGCTCACTTCACTCTTTTCCACCAGATGCTCAGTCGTTGATGGTACCCGTTTCGCCGGACGTGCTGGTCATTCTAAAGAACTAAATTTTACTGAAATCGACCTCCCTTCGGTCGTTAGCAACGCTTGAATTTTTCCTCCAACTTCGTTTATCCTTCGAGATATCCTTTTCATAAATTTGGTCCTTAAAATTCAATTTGTAAACAGAGGAGATTTTATGATACACTTTTAAAAGCCTAAAAGACAACATTATATGCCTTTTGCTCTCATTTAAAACCTAATGGTTTTATGATTGCTTGTATACTGATAGAACATGTTTATAGAGTATTTTATCAAGACATTAATAAAAAAAATGCTAATGAAGTTTATGATTGATTTATAGAACAATTTTAAGGTGGGATTGAGAACTACTTTAAATTTAATTTTAAAACAAGACAGTTTTTGACCTCCCGCCAGACTGTAAAAGGTTTTTAAAACAGCGAAAAGGTGAACTAGAATTATTATAGAACACGACCTATTGAGCTTTCAAAAACTACTTGTGCGCAGTACCCAACATTCCATTCGTAATAACAATCGTATTTCGACGCTCGATGTTTTCTTATCATTGAGAATATATCAAGATCAGTGCAGGTTTTTCAATAACGATCTGGTTGATTTTCCCGATTGTTTAAATAGGTATCAACAAAAAGCTACGATATTTAATTACTGCAATAGCTGACTTTTCACAGCAAGCACTAACATTAACTCTAATTTGTGAAACTTGTTCATGGGACAAAACCCTTCGATTTCAATTGTCTTAGTTACTTTTGGTATGGGAAACTGTGGAACGTGCCTAGTTTGCAGTGATCGGTTTTGATTGATTTAAGCCACCAATGAAAATTCGACTTTTAACCATTTTCAACTGTTCCTGGGCTACCTTTGATTTCAACTAAACAACCACGCTCACAGACTAACACCATTATTAGTTTCTCAACGATCGATCAAACCGGCCAAAGAGAATATCACTGTTTTTGAAGTGGTTACTTGTCAGCCGTCAACGTTTCCTGCTTTCCTTGCACACGCAGTAGTAAATTATTTGCTGATAAAGGTGCGATTAGCGCTGGCTCGTATTTGTACACTGGTACTTCTGGTTGGCAAAAACCAACTTCTCCTTCCTGGAAAACAATTGTACTGCGAGAACATTATTCAGTTGAAGGTCATGTACGCATCGGAACCATCGCTGGTGAAGGAAATGTGGATTCAAGGTTCATTCACGTGTCAATCCCTCAGGGGAGCTGTTTGGCGCTCTCGTTGAATTTGTCGTCATTGTTGTGCGTCGTCCTGCGGTTATGGTTGCTCCTTGACAGGGTTGGAGTACACACAGTTCAAAGGAATGTGGCTCCCGTTGAATGTGATACTATCCCGCTGGGTTGGTTTTTAAATGGACCGTTGCATGTATAGGTGATTGTGTTTGGACAGAGTGTGTGCAATGCTTTGTTGTTTGATTATTACGACGGGGCTGGGCGTTGGAATGTTTATTTGCTTTAAAGAAATTGGTAGTACATATTTGGATTGTTGGTTAATGTCTCTGATGTGAAATATGTTAAATAGCTTCGGAATCGATTTTCCAGTTCCGGGAACGGTGTACTCGGAAAAACCACAAAGTTGAGAGCAGACGTAGAGTTCTGGTTGGGGCAATGATTTTGTCTGGATATTCTGCTCAGCTGATATCTATCGTAGATTGTAAATTAAATTCCAAAATGATTGTTGATAACGCTCTTTCCTAGCGCAGTATCATGTTATTGTATTTGTGATAACCATACATAATGGTGGATGATGATAGCGTTCATCGATGAACGAACATTATTTTACGATTCTCATATTTAATAATTTGGGTTCGTGTCTATCGAAAAAGCAATTTGCATTCAACCAACTCCCGGTGCCATCCAAATTTCACGCTTCCCAACTTCCGTTCGGGAACAACAATTAATCATTTCTCGTTCCACGCTGTTCAGACCGCGTCGCATTTGGCAACCATATCTCGTCTTCTATACGTCGGCTGCGTCACCGAAGGCAAACAAGAAATACAAATCACGTCGAAAACCTACGTAGCTGCACTCCATCGAAACCATCAATTATAGAAACATCACTCAGGGTTGCTAATATACTAGCTTTTGCGGGATTCTGCGGATGTTTGTTTTTGACGTGATCAGCCAGACAGATAACGCTTATTATTTTATTTTATTTCTAATAAATCGATTAAAGACGAACAAGTGTCTAGCTTTGAATGTATTTGAAAACAGTCAAATCGTGAATTTGCAACTCAATCTAGTTTACCCATTTTTGGGAAGTTTCAGTTTTGACCGATCTGGGTGGATTCTACCCAAATTTGGGAAGTTTTGAAATAGCGTGTACTATAACCGTCTATAACAGTGACAGCTCGTGCGTGTGGTGGATTTGAAAATGCGTGAATTTCTAATGCGTGTTGCAAAATGCATCGCACGCATTTTTTTTTAAAAACAGTGTAACCAAATAATTTTTTTAAATTTTCCCTTGATTACAAAAGTCTGTAAATATCTGTGAAAATATCAAAAAAGTCTGTAAATGTCTCCTTTAAATTCCGTTATAATTGCTTATCTATTGACAGATAAGCGTATTTCGTCTACTACTTGCATAAGTGGTGTTGAGTACTTGGCACTGATGAAGCCTGCAAGCAGTAGACAAAATACGCGTATCTGTCAAAAGATAACCAATAATGACGGAATTTAAAGGAAATAAACCAACCCACTCAAAGCTCTTCATAAAGGGATTCCGTTAAGAGGTTCGACAAATTTAAAGTATTGTAAATGTCTGTAAATTCACAGTCATGTCTGTAAATCTGGCATGTCTGAACAACAGAAGCTTTTTAACACTTCAAAATAAACCAAAATCGTGGAACATCAACATTTACTAAAATATTTGAACTTTTTTTTATCGGGATAGTTATGTAATTTGTGCATTGGAAACGATTTTCTGGACGAAAAACAATATTTTCTGCATAAAAAACAATAAAGTTCCGCGAAAAATTTAACATGAGTTCTTAACAGTTTTTAGGAAACAAAATCTTTTATGGAAGCTACATGCAAGTTCTGAACGATCCATAAGTAAATTTTGGCAGAACTTCAGGGAAGTTCCAAGCGAGCTTTAGAAATGTTTTAAAGGATCTGCAGGAAAGTTCCAAGCGAGCTACAGGAAAATTTCGACGAATCTTCAGAAAAGTATAAAGAGACATTCAGGAAAGTTTTCAGGAATAGAAGAATAGTGGAGTAATGAAATTGGGTTGTTATCAGAATGCCTAAATAAAACAGCAAAAAAAAAAAAGGTTATCGTCCATTTAATTCCACTTTTTTGATATCTGGTAGTTTCGGTAACTTTCCTGAAAATCCTCCGAAACTTTTCTGAAATTCTTCCGGAATTTTCTGAAGTTTCTCCGGAACTTTCCTGAAGTTCCTCCGGAATTTTCTGAAGTTTTTCCGGAACTTTCCTGAAGTTCCTCCAGAACTTTCTGAAGTTCCTCCTGAACTTTCTGAAGTTCCTCTGGAAGTTTCCTGAAGTTTCTCTGGAAGTTTCCTGAAGTTCCTCTGGAAGTTTCCTGAAGTTCCTCTGGAACTTTCCTGAAGTTCCTCTGGAATTTTCCTGAAGCTCCTCCGGAACTTTCCTGAAATTCCTCTGGAACTTTCCTGAAGTTCCTCTGGAACTTTCCTGAAGTTCCTCCGGAACTTTCCTGAAGTTCCTCCGGAACTTTCCTGAAGTTCCTCCGGAACTTTCCTGAAGTTCCTCCGGAACTTTCCTGAAGTTCCTCCGGAACTTTCCTGAAGTTCCTCCGGAACTTTCCTGCAGTTCATCCGGAACTTTCCTGCAGTTCCTCTGGAACTCTCCTGCAGTTCCTCCGGAACTTTTCTGAAGTTCCTCTGGAACTTTCCTGAAGTTCCTCCGGAACTTTCCTGAAGTTCCTCCGGAACTTTCCTGAAGTTCCTCCGGAAATTTCCTGAAGTTCTTTTGGAACTTTCCTGAAGTTCATCTGGAACTTTTCTGAAGCTCCTCTGGAACTTTCCTGAAGCTCCTCCGGAACTTTCCTGAAGGTCCTGCAAAACATTCCTGAAGTTCCTCTTGAACTTTCCTGCAGTTCCACCGGAACTTTCCTGCAGTTCCTCCGGAACTTTCCTGCAGTTCCTCTGGAACTTTCCTGCAGTTCCTCCGGAACTTTCCTGCAGTTCCTCCGGAACTTTCCTGCAGTTCATCCGGAACTTTCCTGCAGTTCCTCTGGAACTTTCCTGCAGTTCCTCCGGAACTTTCCTGCAGTTCATCCGGAACTTTCCTGCAGTTCCTCTGGAACTCTCCTGCAGTTCCTCCGGAACTTTCCTGAAGTTCTAAAATCATTTTTTCCTGAAGTTCAATCATTATTTCCTGAAGTGCTAAAATGATTATTTCCTGAAGTACTAAAATTATTGTTTTATATTAATTCGCTGCAAAATATCATGATTTGTATTTGAAGTAGACAGGGACTATTTGAAAATATTGAAGATATGGTTGTAATAAAACAAGGGCTACCAGGCCGAAGGTCACATTTGTCCCGAGTTTTTGAAGGACTATTGGCAACCCTGTCTAAAAACTGCCACTCACGTGTGAAACCGGCCCCCTTGTTGTGAGCGATGCGTAATCAGTGACGAGCTTACTTTTCTTTTCTCTACCACCCCGAATCCCTCCCTTTCCCCCTCCCCCCTCACCGTGTACTACTATTGGCCATTGAGTGCGATCCATTCTGAATAAAAGTCATTAAAATGAGTCTTCTTTTCCGTTCATTTCAGAACTGTAAGACCCACAACCAACCATATCGGCCGAGGAGCTACGTGCCATCAGAAGCGGGCATCAGCACCAGAGTGTGAAAAGCGAAAATTTTCCTACCGCAAAAGCTCATCTCAACCACCCAATCAACCACCCACCAACCTACATAGGAGCAAACCCCCCCCCCCCCCCCCCGCCCACTTGAGCCTCGTCGTTCGTATCTGTACATGTTCCGTATGTTGTAAGTGTTTGTCGTTTGCTTGGCAGTGTTTGTTAGTGTGTATCTAGGAGAATAAGGAACCGTGGAAGAAGAATAAAAAGACGAAAAAGAAGAAGAAGATATAGCATACATAAAAATACAACAAGAAAGGTGGTCGATTCATGTCGGATAGCTTGACTCGTTCGGCGAAAAAAGCCAGTGGCAGTGAGTGAGTGGTTTGACCAAATTACAGGGGAACCTATAACGAGACTCCGGAGCTCGCATTGGATTTTGTGTTTTGGTGTGAAGAAGACTCCACCAAAAGAAGCGTCCGATAGTTCGACTATCTTTGAAGAAGCCAAAGAAGAAGTAGAGGCGAATAAAGTTGATTCATAACAATTTTCGTCGATATTGAGATTTGCTAGAGAGGACAGTGGCAAGGAGGAGGAGAAGGAGAAGCAGTTACTCTAGTGCTCGTTAGAGGGATTCTGGGGAACGGGAAACGAAGATTGTTTGATCCGGTGAACGGACGGGGACAGTGAAGAAGATAATAACAGTGAGCGATTGTGAGGATAACGAAGAAAGGAAAAAAATGTTTATTTATGGTTGGCGAAAAGCTTCTGCCCGCGTAGGAGAAAGGAAGTGATAAAGGAGAAGTAAGAAGAAGAAGAAGTGCGCAGTGAAGTAAGGAAGAGAAACAGCAGCAGTTTGGCAGTCAGTTTGGTTGTTTGTGAGTGTGTGTGTGTGGGTATGTGCACTGGTGCCGCCATCATTACAGACTATATTATGGAAAATTATAGCTAGAGGAGTGTCATTTGCGGTGCTGGAAAAGGAAACAAAAGAAGGTAAGATTCACCCGCTTTTCTTTGGAAAAGTTTTCAATGGGGGTTTGCAAAGTTGCTCCATCCAGAGCGCTTCAAATTGCTTGGCACGAGGCTCTCGGTTGCGGTGACAAAAGGGAACGTTGTTGGTTAACCGTGAGGTGCTCGACGAGTGGCTGGTTTTGGCAGGTTGTGTCCGATTTCGATGACGGTTCAATATCCTTTTGAAAGGTGGTTGTGTTTTATTTTCCGTTGAAGTGGTACGTTTCGGTTCGGGAAAGTAATTAATTAGTTTTATTTGGAAAAAGATCAGTTGAACAATGCATCTGATCGTAGCAATATCAGATTGACATGGACTTTAATATAATGAAAGGATGCTTAAGCGATAATGAATAGCGAGTGATAAGGATATAGATTTAACAATCCCGTTACCGATATTTTAAGGTGACACCAATAAAACTGCCCGTTACCGTTGCTAACCGGAAGCAGGCTAATTAAATTGTTGCGTGCGAGCTTTTTTTTCATTGGAATACCGAGTTTACATACCCAGTAGTGAGGTAGAAATAGAAGGAGTGGTCACCAAAGCAAGTTTGACTAGTGATGATTTCTTGGGTCCCGATTCCTTCGGAATCTTTAAAAACCGTGCTCTCCCAAAGGTGAAGAAATTGGACTGCCTTCAAATGCAGTCGGTAACCATTGTAGGCTCCAAAAAATCTTATTCCTTGTTAAACTCGTTTCGTTTAACCTTTACGGGTTCAGCGGCACCTCACTACGTAGCTATTGGCAAGGTTCGGCTGCCTGTACGTCTGTTTGTACCTCGGGTAATGAACTGCTCGAAATGTAAACAACTTGGTCAAACATCGGACTACGGCTCGAACAAACCACGCTGCGATCATCAAGAGAGTCCTTGCAGTGCTCCTCCAAAATGTGTGTACTGCAAGGAGAGCCTGCATACCCTGACTGACTGCCCGAGGTATAAACAGCAGGGACACAACATTAAACGGTCTCTGCAAGCTCGCTCCAAGCGAACAATAGCAGAACTCTTGAAAAATACCGCTTCACCTCCTCAGATCACTCCAAAAAGTGTCACACAAAATCAGCTGAATAATCAGCAAGAACATCATTGGCGTAGTTAATTGAGGTGCCAAGGGGGCCAGGCCCCCTCCAGAATTATCCATGCCCCCCTAGGAATTTTTGCTGTTTTTTTGACGTAGGACTACGTCTGTGATTTATATATGGAGGAACACTTTGTGAAAACCGAAAATGGAACATGTAACAAAATTATGAAAGAGTTTGAACGTTAATAACTCCGCTGCTCCTGGACCAATTTCAATAATTGTATCACCAATCGATCAGAAATATTTCTACGCATCTGTTTAACTTGAGACATTATTATTTTTCAAAATGTCACTATTGAAAACTGATAATAGATAAAATTATCACCGATTGCCTGCGAGATTTCCCTAACACAGATTTCAAAGTTGAATTCCATCCGGTCTCACCAAACTGTGTTTATTCAATCAGCTAGTAGGCAAGGCTGGCCTCAACCACTGATCGGATTCATTTCCGATCACCGTGTGTGGTGGTGTCCGGTCGTCGGCATCAGCAGCAGTGTTTTCGGCACGTGGTATTGAACATTGTTCTCCAGTACACAACGAAAGGCTGCCTGCAAGTAGCGAGCTGAGGCCCACTTGAGTATCCATAGACGAAGGAAGAAGCCACACCGTTATTGATTGGAATCAGTAGCTCTTCGTGAGTTTCTGTGGGTCATCTCTGTCAAACGCGTCATACTAAAGAGTATAAATAGAGAGATCCCCGCTCAAATTCCTATTCCTACACAAAACACAAGCTCCTTCTGCAGTTTACAAATAATTAATTAATTAATTTAGCTTTATTTAGGAGGCTTTCAGCCTTAGGCTGGTTCGCCTCCATACTGTTTACAAATAAGATTTATTATATGAGTCCTACGTCACCATTGCGTACAACCCCACAGGGCTGTCCCTTGTAGTTTTTTATACACCGTTATTTGTCAAGCAGTTTCGAGGTTACTATTTATTTTTATTGATTTTTATGAATGTCTTCTTTTCTAAATGTTTAAGACTAGAAGAAACAATGTCGAGAATTTATATTATATCGACATTTAATCGTTAGCATATTGAAACGTCTGTTGGCCTCAATTGGCCAAGAGTTAAGGGAATTTCCTTTAACTTCAGGGAACTTCGTAAAACTACAAGGACTTCGAAGAAGTTCAGGGAACATTGTGGAAACTAAGAAAACTATGAACTTGATAGAGCTTCAGAAAAATTCGTAGAAACTTAGGGTGCTTTGGAAAAGTTAATATAATATGTATGGATCTTCATATAATTTCAGGATACTTTTTCTCATAATTTAATTACGTACAAGTTCGAGAAGTTCTATACGTGGAACTTCGCTGAAAATCAACGAGAAATAAGTTTTCACTACAAATTGGACATCGGGGTGGAACCTTGGACGGATTTAAATGTCTTCTCAAGTATCTTACTGAGAAGCAGCACAAGTTTTTTTCTTACGACACTAAAACTGAACGTGTGTTCAAGCTTGTCATGAAAGGACTGCCCAGTGGTGAATCCCTGGATCAGATCGAAGATGAACTGTCAAAATTACTTGGAGTTGTGCCACTCCAAGTTATCAAAATGAAAATGATATCCCGTCCTGGCGATTCGCGCAACGGGATTTCTAATGATTTTTATTTAGTTCACTTCAAGTCTAGTGAACTAAACAACCTTAAGGCCATAGAAAAAGCTAGAATTGGAGAATTAAAAAGGAAGTTGGCAAAAGGTACAGACGATAGGGCTATCTCACAATGTGTAGCTAGCCCGGACGATCCAGCTTAAATACGCGTGCCTTAAGCGCCACTCCACAAGGGAGACCACACGTCCAAGGTTAATTTGTCCGGATGAGACTCTCCTAAGGATGAGTCCATTAATTCCTAGAAAGGATTTACAGATCGTTTCAGACAGGTTCCAACTAAACGACCAAATGGGAATTCCCTATTATCCCCATGAATTCAAACTCAAGAAAGTCACTCAGAGAAACGGTAGAGCTCACGCATACCCTAAAACTCTACGAGAGAGAACTTCTCATCATCGGCCAGTCCCGTCACCTGCCGCTAGACGTCTCCCTAATCTGGTTGTGGACAGGGTTGCTTCCACTCACTTGCTATAAAAAAATATTTTTCGGAATTATGCAATCATTAGATGTTATAATGCTGTGTTGCACTTGTAAGTAACAGGAAGAGGGTGTAAAGTATGTGTTTGACTCATAAAACCTGCCAATTTCGCTTTGAGCGCGTCACAATCAGCAATTTTATGATTCGTGAGCGTTCACTCAGAGTGAGTGCTCACGAGTCGTAAAATCGCTGATTGTGACGCACTGAAAGCAATATTGACAGATTGTATGTGTCAAACATATACTTCATGACCTCTTCTTGTAACTTACAAGTACTAATTAGCATTATAATATTTAATGATTACATAATTCCGAAAAACATTTTTTTATAGCAAGTGAGTGGAAGTAGCCCTGGTTGTGGAATGTACTTCCCACCATTCAAACTCAACAAGAGGACGGGCAACGAAAACTAACACGAACGTGGAGTGATGTCAAACACATTCAAATAATTAAAGCTAGAGAGATTTGGAACGGGAAAACAACATTTATTTATAACATGAACGACGATACAATGAGTGCCTCTTACTATTTATTTACATTCGTACAAAATTCGTTTTACACTAAAGTCTTTTTTTACGCGGTTTATTTTTTACGCGGTTTTTTTTACACGGTTAGTGCCGCAGAGTCGCAATTTACGCGGTACCTTTTTAACGATTTCTCGACAACGATACAACCTATCGACTTCATTCCAATCACATTATCCGTTTCAAGCTATTGGTAATCGAATGGCATACTTTAAAAAAATCACAATTCTTGGTGTAAATACAGAAATTTTTAAAATATGTCTATATGGACCCTAGCATGCTATAATTACGAATGGCATCAAAATCCAATTTATAAAAAATATTTAAGCATGTGAAAAATCAAAATCTCGGCAATTTTTTTACGCGGCACGTATTCCCCGCGTAAAAAGCGACTCCAGTGTATTTCTGTTTCTATGTGTTTGTTCTTATTCGCTCTCCTACTGTGTGCGGTTTCTCTCTCTCTCCCTAACATACTCTTATTCTCGTTTTGTTTCTCATGGGCTCATGTGCTCGATGTTATGTGTTGTTGGGTGTCGTCACAAATCGGTAGCTCAGGCATGTGCTCCTGGTGACAATGATTTGCAGCTTCGAATTACGCGCTCATGCTTTTAGCGGAATCGACGAGGCACGAGTTTCGGCAGGTCGTCACGAAACTCGACTCAAATTACATCAGCCTTAGGACTGGCAAATAACTACTCCGTTGTGCCCTCACCGGACGCCACACTCCACAAAAAAGATAAAAGCTTGGTTGACTCACCAGATGATGGCTTGTAGTAGCTTACGTGGGTTTCTGCCAACGGTCACAGTCGATGACCGGTCGGCGGGTTCAACGTACTCGGTGTCGCGTTCGATGACCGCGTAGAAAGCGTCACCCCTTTGATGACGGTGGCAAATGGCGGTTCGGCGTTACTATGCTGTGCCGGCTTTGATGACGAGCCGGCGTGTGGATCCTGTCCACGTGGAGGTCCCTCGAGCCTCCTCGGACCGATGTGATTACGGATCTGTCCGCTTCCGGCCGGTTGACAATTGCCGGGAAATTCCGTCCGACGGGGAGAAGTATCGCGCTATTCTAACTGACACGAACAAACGCGCACACTTCCAAATTGGTGGAAAGTCACAGACGAAATGATCGAGCCTGTGAATCCTCAGATTAAGGAAATGTAAGACTCGGACGGACCGGAAGTCCATTTTTTCCTGAAACCCATCGTGTACTTTCGTGAGTCCAAAGACACGAAAGATAGCTTGGCCGATAGAAGTGCCGTTGTCCCTTTCCTACCTTATCCATAAATTAAATGGAACCGTCTTTGGAAAGATTTCAGCAAAAAAATGCTTGTGTATTCAAACTGCCTACCCTAAGGAATTTAATTCAAATAATTTAAACCTATTATATTATATACAAAATTCCTGATCGTTACAACCTCACCCAGTGCCGTAAGTGCCAGGGATGGAGTCATGAACTAAAAACTGCTACATGCCAGCTAAATGCATGAATTGTGATGATTCCTCTCAGGCAACTGTCCTGTGAAGGAAGATCCT